GGCACATTAATTCATTGGTGGATAAAGATTTTGTGAGTTCCAATCCACCAATGAATTAATGTGCCAACTCATTGGTGCTTAGGATAAGATGAGCACCGGTGCTCATTAGATCATTTCTGTATATATATATATATAGTAGAAATTACACTCAACCAGAATTTTAAAAATCCAATTTCAAAAATCAGATCTAAAATTTATTTATACAAAATTCAGATATTCAAAATTAGATGGTAATTCAATATTAAAAATAATATTATAAAATTAAACTAATTTATATACAACCCTACCATCCATCCGTCCGTCCACCCCCACCGACCACCCTATCTAATTTCAAACCCTAGATCACTTTATTCTCTCTTCACTCACTCCCCCCCTCTCCCTTTTCTTCTTCTTTCTCTCTCTCTGTCGTCGGTACCAACGAACACTCCAACGCTACCTCATCGCATTGTGCCAATGTCACCCACGCGCTTCACATTGCTTTACTCACAGGATGCTACTTTGCGGCGCTGTTGATATCGTTCACCGCTTGACAGCACTTCGTGGCGCTTTGCATTGTTCCATAGCGCCGTTGTGAGGCACGAAGATCACTATGGTTTTCAGGAATTGTCTATCTGAAAATGGAAGCGGCTTTGATTTGAGTGCCACAACAACGTCTACAACGCTATTGTGAGGAGCTTATTTGTGCAGTGCTCGCCGTGATGGTGGTGATGGTGTTTGTTGTCAGTTGTAGTTGTATTTCTTTCAATGGGACATAGCAGAGCATATTGCTAAGTATTGCAACCTTAAATACGACAACCAGGTTTCTATTTGATTTCAGCATAACAGAACTTCTTGTGGTGGTTAAAGCTGTGGTGGTAATGTGATTGTGGCTATACTGGTACTGGTGCTAGTGGGATGGGATAAATGTGTTTGTGACCAAATTGTGACAAATAAATTGATTAATTTGTGACCTAAAAATTGTGATCGTAACTTACAATTTATTAAGTTGTAACCAAGAAATAACTTGTGACCAATTAACTTGATATTTTAGGACCGTAAAATAATTTGTGATTTATAACCAATAACTTGTGACCAATAAATAATATGTGACTTACAAATTTGCTACCGGGAGGTGGTGGTGGTGGTTCGGCGCGTTGGTTTCGGCTGCTTGCAGTGGTGAGGTGGTGGTCACAAGCATTGGTGGTTGATTGTGACCAATAAATTTGTTGGTATGTTACCAATGAAATAGATAAATTGTGATCAATAAATACTGTGTGACCTAAACATATGTTAATGTGTGATCAGTAATTTGATAAATTGTGACCTAAATATAATTTGGTGTAAATTAATTTGATGTTTTGTGACCTAAAATAAGTTGTGACTTATAAAATTCGTCATTTATGATCAATAAATAATACGTGATTATTAATTTGATAAATTTGTGATCGTGAAATAATTTGTGATATATAAATTTTTTAATTGTGGCCGAGAATTGATTTGTAAGCAATTAATTTGATAATTTGTGACCAAATTGTATAAAATTGGGACTTTCTATTTAATTTATAAAATATATTTTAAATTAATTATTTCATAAATAAATTTAATAAATATCTGATTTTTGAAATTTTAAACATTTTATCTTAATTTTGAAATGAGTTATACTTAAACTTGTATTTATGAATTCTTCATATATATATATATACTCAAAATTGGGCTGAATCTGTATTGGGACTTGGGCTACACCTGATGAAGCCCATGCAGATTGTTGTGGATAAGTAGCTTTTAAACACGTGGAAATGACATAGAGGCCGGTTAAGATCCAACTTCATAAATAATTTTAAGTTGGGAAAATTACCTGGAAATCTATAATTAAAATTCAATTATCATAAATAAGGGAGAGTTAGTTTAAACTTCATATATAAGGTGTTAATTACATTTTAATAATTATAATTAATAA